GACAAATATCATATGTTTGCACGTATAGGAGGATTAGGAGGAACTTGACGGAGGAACAAGGGGGAGAATAAGGGCGGAAATGGTGGGGGAAAGGGAGAGAGGCAAACCATGAGTGAGAGACTCTTGAATGCTGACAAAAACTGAGGACTGATGGATGTGGGGGGGGAGGGGGGATGGGCACGGATGGGGACACTTGTGGGGATGAGCACTGAGTGTTATGTGGAAACTAATTTGACAATAAACTATTTGTAAAAAAAAAAAAAAAAAAAAAAGAATTTGTCTTTCAAGACAACAGAGTTCTGCCTAATTAAGACAAAGCCAGGCCCACCCCCAATTCCCTAGTTGTCCCCATTCCTGTCCCAAGTACTGCACAGGGATCCCCACCCAGAAGTCCTCCTGGAGGACCTGATAGTTGATTTTTTCATCAATTTTGGAAAACTTTAGCTACTTTTAATTAAAATATTTTTGTCTTTTCTCTCCTCTAATTTTGGAACTTTAAATAGACAAACAGGTATCACTTTGCTCCACACATTTCTTATACTCTATTTTGTTTGTTGTTGGTGTTTTCTACACTTTTATCTTTGTGTATTCATTTTTGATATTTCTACATTAGTCTTCTTCAAGTTTAATACATTTGTGTTCTGCTGTGTCCATTTGACTCTTAAGACCATCCAATGTATCCATATTTCATGGATATTTGTAATTTTAGTATAACACATGGTTATTTTTATAGTATCAATTTTCTTTTAAATATCTGTTCTTTAAATTCATTTTATCTATTGTTTTCCTGTAATTCCCTTAACATACTTAAAATAGCTACTTTAACGACCTTGGCACTAATTCCAACATCTGGATCTGAGTGTCTGTCTTCCAGAATCCTCCATTTATTTTTGCTTCATTTTTTATCACATTTTTTTGCTTCCTTATGTATCTTTTAATTTTTTATACAAAACCATACATTTCATATGAAATAAATGTAATGAAAATGTTTGTATTATTTACCAACCTCCACCACCACCACCCCCATTGACAAGAGTGTTTGCTTTTTCTTGATCTAATCAAGAAGTGAGCTCAGATAGGTAGAGTTGCACTTCTGGTTTGAGTCAGTCCACTTTTGGTTTCAAAACTCTAAAAGTAAAGACCTTCTTGCCTTTTTATCAAGAATCTGATTGGTCTCTTCTTCCTCCATCCCAAGATACTCGGATTTCTCCTGCTTTTCTGATGTTTTGATCTCTGCCCTTTAATCTCACTTTGAGTGACTTTAAATATAACAACTGTTTGGATGAGAATACAGATGTGTATTTGAAGCAGGATCTTTTTCTTACTGGGACTTTTTCTATGAAACTATAGGAATTTTCACTTCGTTCTTAGGCTCCAGAAGAGCACCCTCATTCTGCAAGTTTTCAGAATTGTCCATGTTAGACATACGTCCAAGGTGTCTAATTCTTCTTTCCCTCATCAACATTCCTTCATTCCAGCAAACCCTAATCTTCAATCCATACCCAGAGTTGGCAAAACATAACCAGGTAAAAGATGGCCAGAAACAATACGTTGCTAAAGGAGGCCCTTCCCACTTTCATTTAGTTCATTTAGTCATTTTTCTTCTCAATATTTCCAGGATATCCAGTTCCTTTCAACACACACACACGAGAACACACATACACACACATGCACACGCACATGCATACACACATCCCCACACACACAGTTTGTTATTGTTTTTCCAGTTTGCAGGAGGAATGTTGTTCTGTTCCATCCTATTCTGTCATACTTGGAATATTCCCATACAATGTTGTATCATCTTACCACACTTTATTTTTTTTATTTTATTTTTTTTTTTTTACAAATAGTTTATTGTCAAATTAGTTTCTACATAACACTCAGTGCTCATCCCCAAAGTGCCCTCCTCCATGCCCATCCCCCCCTCCCCCCCACATCCATCAGTCCTCAGTTTTTGTCAGCATTCAAGAGTCTCTCATGGTTTGCCTCTCTCCCTTTCCCCCACCATTTCCGCCCTTCTTCTCCCGCTTGTTCCTCCGTCAAGTTCCTCCTAATCCTCCTATACGTGCAAACATATGATATTTGTCCTTCTCTGCCTGACTTATTTCGCTCAGCATAACACCCTCAAGGTCCATCCATGTTGCTACACATGGCCAGATTTCATTGTTTCTCATTGCCATGTAGTATTCCATGGTATAGATAAACCACATCTTCTTGATCCATTCATCTGTTGATGGACACTTAGGCTCTTTCCATGTTTTAGCTATTGTGGAGAGTGCTGCTATGAACATTGGGGTACATGTGCTCCTATGCCTCAGCATTTCTGTATCCCTTGGGTAAATTCCTAGCAGTGCTATTGCTGGGTCATAAGGGAGTTCTATTGTTAGTTTCCTGAGGAACCTCCACACTGTTTTCCAGAGGGGCTGTACCAGTTTACATTCCCACCAACAGTGTAGGAGGGTGCCCGTTTCTCCACATCCTCGCCAGCATCTAGAGTTCTCTGATTTGCTCATTTTAGCCACTCTGACTGGCGTGAGGTGGTATCTCAGTGTGGTTTTGATTTGTATTTCCCTGATGAGGAGGGATGCTGAGCATCGTTTCATGTGTCTGTTGGCCATCTGGATGTCCTCTTTGGAGAAGTGTCTGTTCATGTCTTCTGCCCATTTCTTCACTGGGTTGTTTGTTTTTCGGGCGTGTAGTTTGGTGAGTTCCTTATAGATTCTGGATATTAACCCTTTATCTGATATGTCATTTGCAACTATCTTTTCCCATTCCGTTGGTTGCCTATTAATTTTCTGGGTTGTTTCCTTGGCTGTGCAGAAGCTTTTAATCTTGATGAGGTCCCAACAGTTTATTTTTGCTCTTGATTCCCTTGCTTTTGGGGATGTGTCAAGTAAGAAGTTGCTGCGGTGGAGGTCAAGGAGGTTGTTTCCTGCTTTCTCCTCTAGGGTGTTGATAGTTTCCTGTCTCACGTTCAGGTCCTTTATCCATTTTGAGTTGATTTTTGTGCATGGTGTGAGAAAATGATCTAGTTTCATTCTTCTGCATGTTGCTGTCCAGTTCTCCCAACACCATCTGTTAAAAAGGCTGTCTTTTTTCCATTGGATATTCTTTCCTGCTTTGTCAAAGATCAGTTGGCTGTATACTTTTGGGTCCACTTCTGAGTTCTCAATTCTGTTCCATTGGTCTATGTGTCTGTTTTTGTGCCAATACCATACTGTCTTGAGGATGACAGCTTTGTAGTAGAGGCTGAAGTCTGGGATGGTGATACCTCCCGTTTTGGTTTTATTTTTCAGTATTACTTTGGCTATTCGGGGTCTTTTGTGGTTCCATACAAATTTTTGGATAGTTTGTTCTAGTTTTGAGAAGTATGCTGGTGCAATTTTGATTGGAATTGCATTGAATGTGTAGAGTGCTTTAGGTAGTAATGACATCTTAACTATATTTATTCTTCCTATCCATGAGCATGGAATGTTTTTCCATTTCTTTGTGTCTTCTTCAATTTCCTTCATAAGTTTTCTATAGTTTTCATCATACAGATCTCTTGTATCCTTGGTTAGGTTTATTCCGAGGTATTTTATGGTTTTTTGTGCAATTGTGAATGGGATCAGTTTCTTGATTTCTCTTTCTGTTGCTTCATTATTGGTGTATAAAAATGCAACCGATTTCTGTACGTTGATTTTGTACCCTGCAACTTGGCTGAATTCTTGGATCAGTTCTAGTAGGCTTCTGGTGGAGTCTGTCGGGTTTTCTATGTAGAGTATCATGTCCACACTTTATTTTTATAACTAGAATTATCTACTTGTAATGCATATTATACGCCTCTTTAATTACTTAGCTAATAACTAACTTCCCTAGTAGAGTGGAAACACTTGAGAGCAGGTACTTTGTTTCTTTTTACATTTATTGTTTTTTCTTAAGAACTTAGAATAGTGCCAAGTAGCTATTTTCCAAATCAATGAATGAATGGTAGAATGTAGTGCAGCAGAATAATATAATATCTCACCCATATTTCCTGGCTCAGAGGTCAGGGGTGGCAAATGTTCCCTTACATTCATTTTTCAACTTTCCATTCGTACACAAATTCCATCTGGCAGATTTTGTCAGTATTCTCACCATTGATGACCTTTGTGTATGTTGTTCTTTCACCCCCAAAGGATGTCACTTTTTATGTTTTATCTTTTTTAATGTTTTATTTTATTTCTAAGAGAGAGAGACAGCATGAGCAGGGGAGGGTCAGAAAGAGAGGGAGACACAGAATCTGAAGCAGGCTCCAGACTCTGAGCTAGCTGTCAGCACAGAGCCCGACGTGGGGCTCGAAACCACGAACTGTGAGATCATGACCTGAGCCGAAGTCGGACGCTTAACCGACTGAGCCACCCAGACGCCCCAAGGATAAGTCATTTTTTAAAAAGTTTTTGTATTTATTTTGAGAGAGAGAGAGAGAGAGGCAGTGCAAGTAGGGGGTGGACAGAGAGGGAGAAAGAGAATCCCAAGCGGGCACAATACTATCAGCACAGAACCCAATGTGGGGTTCCATCTCACAAACAGCAAGATCATGACCTGAACTGAAATCAAGAGTCCAATGCTTAACTGACTGAGCCACCCAGGCACACCAGGCATAATTTACTTTTAGCTTTCTACAGTGGATATCACTATTGTTCCATAATCTTCATGAAGTGGCATGCATTTGCAGGCTCTCAGCTTATTTTCATGTCTAAAGTAGTGATAAAATAACAGTATCGTTATGTTGATAAAAAAGAATAATATAGTAAAGTAAAAACAATTTCTATGGAAAGCTATTTTTTACAAATTTATGTAGATTCAATTTCTGTAAGGTAAAACATGTATCATATATATATATATATATATATATATATATATATGTATATACAGGATGGACCTGTAACAGCATAAGTATTTTTAAAAGCAAAAATAATCTAAACATATTATAAATCTAAATAAACACTTTAAACAATTACTTTGTTTATTGTTCTTAGATTGTAAAGGACCTCCTCCAAGAAAACAAATTGAAATTTTGTCAGGTGTCTGGCCTGAACAAAACTATCCAGAGGGAACTAAGGCTGTATATAAATGCAGACCTGGATACATAACTCTTGGATCTATTACAATGGAATGCAGGAATGGAGAATGGGTGGCTCGTAATCCATTGAAGATATGTGAGAGTAAGTAATTCATACATTTGTGAACTTTGTGAAAACTTTAGTTTGAAAATACTGAATGAGATTGTAGCAATATTAGCTAATTATATCACAATTATCATTTTAATACAAAATAATATACCATCATTATTCTTAATAAGGAGATGAAATCTTCCAAAATACAAAACCAACCATATAGATAAGTTTAATAATAAAATAAGAACTTTGCCATTTTTCACTTTTCCACATCTTTAAATATTTCCTCTGATATAATATTAAATGTCATTTTCCTTGAACTCCTAGATAAAATATGTTTTCCTGTGTCATATAATAAAATTATATTCTTTTTTTCATTTTAGAAAGGCCCTGTGGACATCCTGGAGATACTCCTTATGGTACTTTTCAACTTGTAAGAGGAGAAAAATTTGAATATGGTGCAAAGGTTGTTTACACATGTAATGAGGGGTATGTAGTCAATATAAAAAGAGATTTGTAATTGCGGTGATTATAACTTAAATGGCAAATAGGGAGAGTACTGATTAGTATTTTTAAGGTTACTTTATTTTTCTATGAGCATTTTTATAAGTACTATACAAGTAGCCTAAAAAATTAATCTATGATGGAAATTATTATATTTAGATACCACATTATTCTCAACATTGAAAAATTAAAATGAATCATATTAACTCTGGGAAAGTGTAGCTCTAGGAGGGCTGGAAAACAGTATACAAATAAATAAAGGTTTATTCCAACAAGTCCTGACTAATTTCTATTATGTGCAGAGTATATGCGAGTTCAATATGTCAGGGACAGTGCAAATAGTAACAAAATCATATTACGTGACAGTTCTTTGAATAAAGCTTTTAAAATTTAGGAGAAGCAAATATTTTACACAGAAGTAATAATAACTACCATTATTTGGGGCGCCTAGGTGGCTCAGTCACTTAAGCGTCCAACTTCGGCTCAGGTCATGATCTCACGGTTTGTGGGTTCGAGCGGCTCTGTGCTGACAGCTAGCTCAGAGCCTGGAGCCTGTTTCAGATTCTGTGTCTCCCTCTCTCTCTCACCCTCCTCTGCTCATGCTGTCTCTTTCTCTCAGAAATAAATAAACAAATTTAAAAATAAAAAAAGTAATAACTACCATTATTTAAGCTTCCATGGTCTGTAAATTACTCTAATCACATGTACCAAAAGTGCTACTACCTTCATAATCATTGACTCTGCTCTCTAACCAACTACTAGATTTTCATGGCTAATCTTAACACTGTGAAACCTCTTCAGTGTTCTTTATTCCTGTTATGCCCATCCAGGTCGAAAAATTGTGTTGAAGAAAGTTTCATACTTTGGAAAATCATTACAAGTTTATACTGCATATATAAAAATAGAATCAAAAAATTACAAATTGATTTTTATTATTCTCTCATTTATTTCTTCGTTTAAGACAATAAAATACAATATTTTAAAGGTTAGTCTTTGGAATAAACCTGCATCCCAAAACTCCACCACTTAGTAACTGTATGTATTATTTTAATATCCCTTCACTCCCATTTCCTCAATTATGAAAGTAGAAACATGGGGCGCCTGGTTGGCTCAGTCAAGTGGGCATCTAACTCTTCATTTTGGCTCAGGTCATGATCCCAGGGTTGTGAGATCGAGCCCCACATCAGGCTCTGCACTGAGCATGGAGCCTGCTTGGGATTCTCTCTCTCCCTCTGCCCCTCTCCCCAGCTTGCACATCCTGTTTCTCTCTCTCTAAAAAGAAAAAAAAAAGTACAACACAGCAGGTGCATCATAGGATTGATGGAAAACATATATAAGACACATATTGAAGTCCTTCAAAGAGTCCTTGGGATATTGTAGACACCCAATAAGTCTTAGTTCTTACAATTTTAGGCTCTCTTTGGCCACTATCTGAGATTTTTCAAAGATACTTGTAGTTCAACTTTCAATCATTGCTGTTGACTTTATTTTACATGACCAAATAGATGAAGACCATCTGGGCCTAAATTTTCCAATTACCTCACTGTTCACCTCTGTAATATCCCTTTTAATACAGGTGAGTCTGACCCCATTAGGTTCCATAATGGACCTAGCAAAAGGGATCAAAACTCATAGACTTCTTCCACTAGATTCCCTAAATCTCAGTAATAGATATTTATAATTTGGTGAAAAAATTAGTGACATATTTAACCTTTTACTCTGGCTCCACTTAATTCATCTTTGCTTCCTTCATCTTGTATGAATTCTGGGCAAACTCTGTTAGTGACTCTATGAAATTAACTGCTTCTTTTTTTTTTTATGTTTTTATTTATTTCTAGGAGAGAGAGAGAGAGACAGCGTGAGCAGGGGAGGGTCAGAGAGAGAGGGAGTCACAGACTGAAACAGGCTCCAGGCTCTGAGCTGGCAGTCAGCACAGAGCCCGACGCGGTGCCCGAACCCACGAACCGCAAGATCATGACCTAAGCGAAAGTCGGATGCTTAACCGACTAAGCCACCCAGGCGCCCCTGAAATTAACTGCTTCTGCCACTCAGCTTGGACTTTCAGCAAGGACTAGATATTGGTCAGTGAAATTAAAAGTCCTTGGACTAGGCCAGATCAGCAAACATCAAAGTTTTATGCTATTTAAAAATTTTTTAGAGAGATTGTTTTACCTACCTGAGGGGATGTAAATCTTTTGACCTAGTTGTGGAATCAATGTAGAATGGGTTTACTACACCCGTGGTTTCTGCTAGTCAGTCGAGCCTTTTTGATCCCTTGTCCCCATCCATCTTTTCTCTGCTAAATATCTATTTAGCTGAATACTAGCCATGTATCAGGATATTTGATATGGATATCCAGTTTCAGTATCCTTGGGTAGGTGGTTTTAAAGAAGAGCTCTGCAAAATGTCTTTCTGGTATGTCGTCCAGCTGGGATTGCAGATACATGAGCTGTTACTTTTCCCCAAGTACCAACATTTGGACAATCTCTTTTTCTCCACCCTTTCCCTATGTATATGGGCCCTAAGCGGTTTTGTGTAGAATGTTGCAGAATTCCTAAAACACCTACCTAAAACCAATGGGTTTCTGATGTAGATGGAAAATGTTAACCAGGAAATGTATTTTCTATGTTGGAGCAGGGTACCTGTAAAGGAGACAAACAAGAAACTTTAATAGCCAGTCATTTTGTTCCTTTATATAAAGAGACATAGAGTAATTATTTGGCTTCAAGTTCTGTGAATCTCAATTAATCTATTGAAATTTTTTCTTCCTTTAGAGAATTGGGAACAAATAACATTCAGAGAAAGATAAAGTATTTTTTGAGGGAGAAAGTTTGTTTTTGTTTTTGGTTTTTTTTTTATCTGTGTAATGGGTGAAGCAATCCTTATTTGCAGATGAAGGAAACATTTGTCTGTGTAGAATTATTTAGAAGTTTATGAAAGGCCCATTCTCAAAAATATCTCTTGTGGTTATCAAAATCCTGCCCATCATTTATTTTTTGAGAAAAAGCTTTCTGCTTCTTGTTGTCCACCGTAATATTAAGAAATATTAAGAAGGATGATTTGCTTTGCTCTAAAGCCTCTGGTAATGATTGTACATTTTGCATCTGCCCCAAGGAACTTTCAAGAAAATAGAGCATTTAAGATTTTAAAAACTAGCTTGATGAGTACCACAGTTAGATAAATTTGACATTGAATAGGATTTATAAGGAAACCTGACTTAATGACCACACTCTGTAAAAATGCATGGGATGGAGACAGGAAAATGAAGACAAGTGTTAAAAAATACTACATACTAAGAAACTTTGGCTAGTACTATCATTGATTATGTAAAAAGTCCCAAATGTTCCAAAAATGTCATAATTGTGGAGGGTAGGAGTATGGAACAAGACTAGAGAAAGTGGAACATATTGTTAGTTCTTGGTTACTAACATGTTTTTGGTTTTTGGTTATGGTGGTAGTTCAAGGAGGTTATAACATTGTTAATGTGTAACTAATTGACTAACTCAATGAAAAACCTAAGTGGATATTTAGCCCAAAATTGTAATGGGTTTGTGTCATGATCCAAGGATTATAATTATTCCTAGTCCATGTGCCTGAAGACTTGAGGCCCTTTCTTAAGTAAGAAAGAATCTTTAAAAAGATAGAAAAGGGTGCCTGAATGGCTCAATCAATTAAGTGTCCCACTCTTTTAATTCATCATGACTATTTTTTAGTTCCTTGATCTTTGCAGCAATAGATTCTCTGCTGTCTTCTACGCTTTTTCAAGCCCAGCGATTAATCCTATGACTATTATGCCAAATTATTTTTCAGTTATATTGTTTGTATCTGTTTTGATCAATTCTTTAGCTGTCATTTCTTCCTGTAATTTCTTTTGAGAAGAATTCTTCCATTTCATCATTTTGGCTAGTTTTAAGTCCCTTGTGTGTTTTAAAAGCTTGTTATGTGCTTTGCACCTGTGAGCACTGTTATATTAAAAGCAGTCATACACTGTCCAGGGCCTGGCCTTTCAGGAGGTGTTTTTGGAGAGTGTTACCTGTTCTCTGTTGTTGTGACTTTGGTTACTTTATCTCCCTACTCCTAGTGATATTTGGACCCTCCACCATGTGTGCTTTGATTTGTTCCTTGATGTAGCCTTAGAAAGGAAAACAAACAAACAAAAACAAACAGAAAACAAAAACAAGCAAACACACAAACAAGAAAACCCCAAAAACAAAAAAAACAGAAACACCAGCTCCAAGTACACACCGTGGGTGCAGGTGGTGCTGATTGGAAGAGGCCTTATCCCATACAGAGAGAGAAATGACAGGGGCGGGGGAAAAAGAAAAAGAAAAACTGACCAGACAGAGAAACTATATGGATTAATATAGATATTAATTATAATATAATATAATATATATCTATATATTAAACTATATGGATTATAGTTTAACTATAATCCATATAAACTATATGGATTAATCCAGAGAGACTGTAAGGAAAATAAAGGAGGCAATTGCGCAGACAGAGAAACTATACAGCTTAATCCAGAGAGAGAGAGAGAGAGAGAGAGAAATAAAGGAGGTGTAGAACATGTATCATAAGAATATTTTAAATATATCTGCTTAAACAAACCAACAACCAGAGTATCCAGACTAGAGGAGGGAAGAGACAAGGAGAAAAACAAAGAAGAATATATCTATATAATGAGATTCGTCCGAGAATTAAATGAGGTAACGCAACAGCGCTGATCTAAAGAGGGGCCATCTGGTTCCTCAGCGTCGATCCTCCTGGGGTAGAAAGATACACCTGCGCTGTGGGCCTGTGGTCTGTTCCCTGAAGCCCCACCTTGTTGGTGATGGGGACAAAAATGGCGACATCTCAGTCTCTCCTCCTCGGACTAGGTGTCCCAAACTACTTTTCAAGCAGTCTTCACTGTGCCTCGGGCGCAAGTGAGGTGGCTTGTCCAGCTGCTCCGACTCCTGTGCCTCCTGGCACTTGGCTGGGATTGACCCCTATTGTCTTTAAGGTTCCCACTATGACCCCCCGGGTTTCGGGGAAGTGCCGCTCCTTTGAGCCGATATATACCTTCTTCCCATAGCACTCCAGGGAGGGATTGCTCTCTCCCCCTGCGGATTGCGCCTCTGAACTAGTTATGGAGTCCGGGGCTGGCTTCCCTGCTCCCCAGGTGCGTGAACTGGGCAGCCAACCCCTTTCCGGAAGAAGGCCCGCAGTTAAGATTGGATCTTTATCTGTCCAGACCTGTGGTTTGTTTTTTTTCTTTCATCCAGATACAGCCCTACACTTCCCTAGCCTCTCTTTTTCTTCCCTTTGTGTCTCCGCAGAGGAGGATCCCTTCCCTCCATTTGTTTTAACTCTCCCAGTCCGCAGTCACTCACCTATGGCCCTTCAGGGTGTCCTGGTGGGTCCCTGGAAGCATCTCTGTCACTTTGCTGCTTGGACTCTTGGAGTTCAAAGTACTTTGGCCTCAACACTGCTTTGTTTGAGATAGGAGAGAACTTCGGATCCCCCTACATCTTTGCCATGTTAGCCCCTCCCCCTCGGAATCAAGTGACCCACTCTTGATTTTGGCTTAGGCCATGATCTCACAATTCATGAGACTGAGTCCTAAGTCAGGTTCTGTACTGACAACGTGGAGCCTGCTTAGGATTCTCTCTCTCTCCCTCTCTTTTTGCCAACCCCTCAGTCTCGCACTCTTTCTCTCAAATAAACTTAAAAAAAAATTCTTCATCTCATATAGTTACAACAAGAACAAACAAGTTTTAGAAAAAGGAAAGATAGAAATTTAAGAAAGAGAAAGAATAGAAAGAGGGAAAGGAGGGAAAGCAAAAGAAAGAGAGACAGAAGGGAGAAAGGACAGAAGGAAGTCAGAAGGAAGGAAGATAGAGAGGAAGGAAATGTATATGCTGTTAATTTTCTCTGAAATGTAGTTCCTGGACATTCAGAATGTATCAAACTTGAAATTGCATATAAATACACATTAGCTCACCACTCTGTTATTTTTGGTTTCAGGTATCAAATGCTAGGTAGGATCAATTTCCGTGAGTGTGAATCTGATGGATGGACCAATGATATTCCTATATGTGAAGGTATATACAAAATTGTTTACAAATATATTCAAATATTTAAAATATCTCAGGTTTTTTGAGATATCTTACATTAAAATATCTTTAAGGTTTGTAATTACATATTTTCACTTAAAGTGTTTTTGTGGCTTCTAATACAGAATGGGTATCTAAGCTTTTTATTACTACACTATTTTGTGTTTCATTAACCAAATATGAATACAGGTTCATCTGATCTAGTATATGCAAAGTATTAAATACTAGGAAATCTATAGAACCTATTTTCCTTTCCTTTTGGATTCTAAACACTAGAAATAGCAGAAGTATCAGAATTTCAGCTTTATTTATGAAGACATAATCAATCAATAACCACCCAAATCCAGAGACTGTCAATAACAGCATAAATGGAGAACATGATTTAGACATCTCCCCCTCCTGCATGGCAAGGGAGATTTTCTTGTGGTCTTAGTCTCACTGAAAAGAGACAGGAAGTAAGGAAGAACTCTGCTTTTATTGCTGATTCATAAAGCAAAGAGTCAGAACGAGAAAATTTAGATCCTGTTTCCAAATTTTGGGCTAGTAATCCCAATCTCTAGTCATCATGCAAATAAAAGATATGAGTCGGAAGAGTCTTTCTTAGTTCAATGCTGAGTAAGTAGAAAGGGAGAGGAAGAGGGGACAAGGAAGGTGAGGAGGAAAAGGGGGGGGAGAGGAGGAAGACAGTGGGGAGGAGGAAAGAGGAGGAAGATGGCAATGTGATCACTCAAAAGTCTTGTTACCTAAAGAAGAGAATTTATGGAAATGAGAGGAAAGATCTAAATGTTTTAAAGAACATCTACACTGAAATCACCTGAGGTGCTTGTTTAAAGCTGAAATTTTGAGTTACTAAAACCCCACTAAATCAGGATCTCAGGTAATAGGGCAGGGAGATAGTCATAGAATTTCCATATTAATATGCATCCTTGATGGTTCTACTATAAATTAAAGTTTAAATGCCATAATCTAAAAGATATGGGAAAATATTAAGTAAAATCAAAGGGAGTACTCAAATTATTTTGAGCACTGATGTGGGAGAGGAAGGAGAATTAAGGACTGTTTATCTATTAAAATAAATAGAATCAGGAACTTTGCTTTTATACCTTTTAGCAATACAGTATAATATTATCCTGGGGCTTAAATGAAAACTTTTATCTAAGTTTATCAAGCTTTATATTTTTCAATTATTTAAGAAACATTTGTTTCTTACTATAAAAATGTAAACTGACATTTAAAAAAATAATTTTTTCTTTGTCCACTCTCATAGAAAATAATCAGGGATAAGCTTATTGTTGTTGTTGTTTTTAATTTATAAGCCTTTATAGCCAAAAAAAAAAGGCTTACCAAATGCTTCTTTAAAAATATTAAGTAATTTCCCCATTCTTTCCTTCCTAATGATTTTATACCTATATGTGCATATATACATATTTTTCTTAATAAAGTTGTCAAATTCTACTAGGAAAAGTTATATTATTTTTTTCAGTTGTTAAGTGTTTGCCAGTGACACATCCAGAGAATGGGAAATTTACCAGTAGTGCATTGGAACTAGACCAGGAATACACTTTTGGACAAGTGGTACGGTTTGCGTGCGATTCAGGCTTCACACTTGTTGGGCCTGCAGAATTACATTGCTCAACAAATGGTGCTTGGAGTGGAGAAATCCCGAAATGTATGGGTAAGATACACTTACTGTTCATGGAATTGGACAATCGTAGTTTTTCTCATGAAAATATGTATGTTTAAATATTGTGCATAGCATAATACTAATTATACTAATAACACTAATACGTAACATTTATTTGGGCACGTACTATTTGTCAGTAATTGATCTAAGTTCATGACATGTGTCATTCCATTTTGCCTTCAAAATGAATGTGATTTATGCACTCCTTTCACCTCTATTTTATAACTGAGGAAATTGTGGGGCAAATAGTTAAATCTCATGACAAGTTTATGATGGCATAACAGCAGAGTTAAGATTCAAACTCATGTTATCTGAAACTAAATTCCATGGTCCTAACCATAATTAAATTGTAATTGACTTTCATGCTCAAATAGAATACTAAGCATTTCTACTGAAAGCTTTAATATTGGCCTACAGAGCAGGCTTCTTTTAATTTGTAAGATCAAAAAGTCATTATTTATTTCCACTATACATCATAATAACATTCTGTAATTGAATGATACTTCTAGAATGAGATCCTATTTTATATTTGCACTGTGAGTTTAGATAAATATTGTAGAACTAAACTGAATTCACTAAATAAATTTTAGCCTTTTAAAAAAAGTTCTATAGTAAACTATAAGTCAAGATTCCTTTAGTTATAATACTCCTAACTAGTTCATCATGACCAGTATGGTGATCTGGACTTTTGTAATGAAACATTATGGTCAATTTACTTAAAAGTGCCATGCTTCATTATACCAATCCTTGTTTGGCAGACATTTCCACCTTATTTATTTATTTATTTATTTATTTCTGAGAGAGAGAGAGTGTGTGTGTAAGCAGGGGAGAGTCAGAGAGAGAGGGAGACACAGAATCTGAAGCAGTCTCCAGGCTCCAAGCTAGCTGTCAGCACAGAGCCCAACGTGGGGCTCAAACCCAGGAACCCTGAGATCACGACGTGAGCCGAAGTTGGACGCTTAACTGACTGAGCCACCCAGGTGCTCCTGCCATATTTATTTTTTTAACGGTATCTAAAATTCACACTTTCTTCTCTAGTCTATGTTATACAGAGAGGCAGAGAAAAGCACTCTGTTCTTAAAAATTCGAACAAAACTAGTTCTTCAAGTCAGTAATGGTAATCATATTTCTATTCAGCACAACAAATACTGTATATTCCAGAGGTTCACAGATGGGGTTTCCTCCTTAAAACTGAATTTCTGAGCACCTGGGTAGCTCAGTCAGTTGAACATCAGATTCTTGATATTGGCTGAGGTGGTTATCTCCCAGTCATGGGATCCAGCCTGGCGTCCAGCTCCAGGCCCACTGTTGAGCCTGCTTGGATCCTCTCTCTCCCTCTCTCTTTCTCTGCCTCTCTTTCCCCAACTCATGTGCTCTCGCTCTCTCTCTCTCTCTCTCTCTGTCTCTATGACTCCCAAGCTCTCTCTCTCAAAATAAGGAAACTTAAAAAACACTGGGTAACCTGGGTGCTTCAGTTGGTTGAGTGTCCAGCTTCAGCTCAGGTTATGATCTCACGGTTTGTAGGTTTGAGTCCTGCATCAGACTCTGTGCTGACAGCCCAGAGCCTGGTGCCTCTTTCAGATTCTGTGTCTCTCTCTTTCTCTGCCCCTCCCCTGCTTATGCTCTGTCTCTCAAAATAAAGAAACATTAAAATTTTTTTAAAAAACTGTGGTTAATGAAAGCTTACTGGAATGACTAATGCATAAGATACATTTTGAAGAAAGAATGAAACTTTTTCCAATGAATTTGAGGAGGGGAAAAGCATTATCAGTGACGAGAAGTGCAGGGAGAGGAAGTATAAATGCAGTGAGGCTTCCACAAGCCTGAAGTTCCCCTGTTCCATGCCCTCAGGAGCCCTTGTATAGGACACAAGAAGGAGAGAGTCAGTGATGGATTGAAGATAGGCCAGTACAAGGTTCTAAGGTGCTCCATATCATGCTGAACAATTTGGCTTCTATTCAGACTGAATTGGGAATCGATGGAGAATTTCAGTGGAATCCTTCAATGGAGCAATGATAGCATAAGAGAAAAGATCATTAAGTTACAACCAGGAAAATAGATTACAGAGGGGGAGAATAGGACCTGGGAAATTAATTATCATTGCTGTAATCTCAGGGAGAAATGTTTAAGAGAAGATGGGGGCAAAAATGGTGGCCAGATTTTCTTTTGAGAGAGAAAAGATGGATGGTAAAACCACCAAAAACAGAAGATGCAATTCAGAGATATAATGACAATAGGTTAAATTAACTTCTTTGACAAAGTGTTATGCCAGTAATTACTCTATTATCAATAACTAGAAAATACGTACTTTCCAGTAGTCATTCGGTGAAAATATTGATCACACTAAGACTATGTATCTATACTCAATTTTATATATACACTTGATGAACATTTACTGGCCACTATTTACTTGAAGAGGACTAATTTGTCTTGAAACCAAATAAAATTGGCAACATAATTTTCATTTATTTGCTTATCTATTTTTGAAAGAAAGAGAGGGAGAGAAAGTATGAGTAGGGGAGGGACAGAGAAAGAGGGAGAAAGAATCCCACGCAGGTCTGCACTGCCAGGGGGAGCCACAGATGGGGTTCAATCCCAGGAACCATGAGATCATAACCTGAGCCAAAATCAAGAGCCAGTTGCTGAAGCAACTGAGCCACCCAGGCACCCCTAGCAACATAAGTTTAATCAGAATTTTACCTTCTTTCAAAAATCAAAATTAAGGACAACAGATAAATTATTCAAGCGTTCAAATCGAAATAGAACTTTTATTTGCTTGCCTGATGTACCTAAAAGAAACAAAACTTGTATCTTTAGTATAACTATGTCGTAGACATGGCCCTTTAATATATAACAGACATTTTGGAATTTGATCCCTTATATTTAGAAATTTCATGCCAAAAGCCAGAAATTCCAAATGGAAGTGCTGCATCTCCGAAGAAAACTTACAAGGAAAATGAACGATTTCAATATACATGTCAAAAGGGTTATGAATACAGTAATAAAGGAGATGCTATATGCACTGCACTGGGATGGACTCCAAGTCCTTCATGTAAAGGTAATGTTATCTTTCTTTTCTATATATTTTGTTGTATGTTTTATCAATTCTTTTCATTTATATATTCCTCACAGTTAAGCAGTTTATTTTTTCTCACAATGAAGTATTAATGTTTACAGGGACCAACTATTGTAAAGACAATATACTTAATGCTTTATGTGTGCAAAATTAATTTTAGTATAATTCTCTCACAATGAAGAAAGACATAAAAGGAACAGAGGAGTTCAGTAGTTCATTAAGTAGTTGGTCTGTGGTCAAAAAGCAAGTCTAGAGCAGAACCAGGGCAATAACAGGCTTCCCAGGCATGAGTACTTCTCAAACAGATAGCTCTTCTAAAGCCTAGCATTTAGCTTTGCGACATAAATGAGATGAATACCATATGAGGAAACCCTCAGTTAACAATGGAATTAAGTGGAAGTAACTGGAGATTTCATTAACCACAGGCCTAATACGAATCAGCAGTGATAATGATGCGGAAAAAACAAAAACAAAACCCACCAAACTCTTTCAGGCTTCCTAATGAAGGGGTGTTGTGCAGAACTAGAATCCATCTCAACTGTGCTTCGTGCCCATGAAAAGTTATGTCTGTAATATTGTGTTCTACTTGGCCTACCTCATTTTAAAAGAGATGGTTTCAAACTATCATGGCCCAGATACAAAAATGTAAAGAGTTAAGAAATCATATTATTAGAAGAATAGCAAGAAGATACAACTATATCATGGTAACAGCTGTGTTGAGATGTTTACAAACATTTATGGAAAAGAATGAGTTAACTTCTGATGAGGGCTGCAGCAGTGAGTGAAACAAGTTACAAGTGCCATCATGCATGAAATCAGAGGTCAAGTGGCCTTTAAATAGGGTGACTGTGCAGGTATCGTCATATTGTGTCCCAGAGTGGATGGGGAGATGGTGAGAAGAGTTGAATTCTTTTCTTTTTTTTTCTGAGAGAGAGAGAGAGACAGCATGAGCAAGGGAGGGTCAGAGAGAGAGGGAGACACAGAATCCGAAAGAGCCTCCAGGCTCTGAGCTGGCTGTCAGCACAGATCCTGATGTGGGGCTCGAACCCATGAACCGTGAGATCATGACCTGAGCTGAAGTAGGATGCTCAGCTGACTGAGCCACTCAGGTGCCCCAAGAGTTGAATTCTTAAAAGGTCTCTGAACTTTTAATGATATGATTCAAAATTTCATGTGTAAACCTTGTTTAATGATCCTCTTTTACAAAACCTAGAGTTAGTTTTTGAGTCAATTTGGTTCTTTTTTTAAAAATGTTTTTGAAGATTTTTTTAAAGTAAACTGTACACCCAACCTGCGGCTTGAACTCACAACCCTGAGATCAAGAGTCACATGCTCTACTGACTGAGCCAGCCAGGCACCCCACCTCCCACAAAAACATTTGGGGTTGAGGCCACAAATATCTCCTTGGAAAATATATCTTCCTACAGCTGAGTTACCTCCACTTTCAGGCTTGTTAAGAAAATATTTTAGAAAGAGGTTAATGAGCACAAGACAGTAATCACCCAAATTAGATCTGTGATCAGCTGATGGTGTGTGGAGTCCAGCTGTTTGTCTTCATGGCATTGGTGGCTCCTATGCAAAGAAAGTGGGTGCACTAATCCTCTGGCATTAACTTTTGCCATATGTTTTACTTCCAGAGCCCTACTTAAATATTTAGGTAGTTAAATTATCCATCCAGTCATCAAAATATAACTTATAAACCACTTACTTAAATCAGACCCTTTATCCTGTATAAACATGAGAAAAAAATCACTGCAGGTTTCAGTGAACATTAGAATAAATCATCATTCCAGGTTTCAATGAAATTTACTTCAAAGTAAGACATCAGAATCTGAATTCAACTTACTTTGACAGAGGACTCAGGAAAGGATGATTGCTACATAGAAGTTGCCTAGTGAATTCTTTTTCTTGGTCATGTAGCTACCTGCTTAAAGCTCTTGCTTAGCACATATTTGTTTTAACAGTAGGAAATCTGTTTTTCCCGTATGTGTTGCTACTGTTCCTAGGCTTACTTTTCTTGAAACTTGACTCACACACACACACACACACACACACACACACACACACAGTAAAGATCCTATGTTTATAGAACATTTTCTTTTTAGAATTTTTTCATTTTCTTAGTCACCTGTATAACTCAAAAACCCAAGACTGCATGCCTTAGAATCCTACTTTCTTTAGGGAGGGAGATGCCAGGATCGAGGTATACTAAGATTGGATACTTTCTTTCACAAAACAGTTTACTAAACATTGACATAAATAAAGAGACGTTTACCCCAAATTAAATAAGCACGCACTCTCTGTTACAACAATGCTTAATTTTATTGAAATGTGTTTTACCTTAACTGGATATAGAGAAGTCTCTTATTAAAAGAAACTCAGGGGCCACCTGATTGACTCAGTCAGTTAGGCATCCCACTCTTGATTTTGGCTCAGGTCATGACCTCACAGTTAATTTCAAGAGTTTGAGACCAATGTCACGCTCTGTGCTGACAGCATGAAGCTTGCTTGAGATTGTCTCTTTCCCTCTCTCTCAGCTCCCCCTCCCACCCCCCGTGCTTCACGTGCAGCTCTCTCTCAAAATAAATAAATAAACATTAAAAAATAAATAAATAAGTAAAAGAAACTCTGCTATGTACCTCAGCTAATATTATCACAAATGCTTCTCTTTATTTTCCTAGGACAATAGAAGGATCTACCAGCTGGTAACAATGAATTCCAAATCTATAGATCTTACTTTTTCCAAGTCTATGATAAATTTGGAATTAAATAATAAAAGAAAATTTAAATAATATAATCTAGGATAAAATAGTTCAACTTTCTTCAGTTGGTTTATTATTTGAATGTGTCAGGCTTTTTAATGTTTATTTAGTTATTTTGAGGGTGGGCACAGAGCACAACCAGGGAGATGGACAGAGTGAGAAGAGAGGGAAAATCCCAAGCATGCTCCACAGTGTCAGCACAGACCCTGATGTGGGCCTCAATCTCATGAACCGTGAATTCAAGACCTGAACCAAAATCAAGTGTTGGACACTTAACTGACTGAGCCACCCAAGCACCCCTCAGGGGGATTTGTCCAAACTTTGTCAAAACCTCAGTCTCTGTATCTAATAAGAAACAGTATCTGACAGCAAGTCATTTATAGGAATAATTAAAAGTAACAAGACCTGCTAAACAAAAGCCATCATTGATCCAAATCCATCTGTTCTCTGTACAAGTCGGATTTTCTGATGATGAACATAGAGTACTAGCATTAAATTATTGTTCTTATTTCAAATGCTTACTAGTGGTTTCTAACAGTAGAAAAAATATGACCCCCATAACCATATTTTGGATAGAGGAACTTGTTCTGGCAATATTATAATATCATCGTTTATTTTAATGGAAATTATGAAAGTAGGGAATTAGAATTTATCAAAGGATTTATGTCCACTGCTCAAAAGTAATCACCTGAAGATCTTCTTTCCTAGTTATTTTAACAAAATTCTCCCAATGTTTTTTGTTGGCCTCTTAGTAAAACTCTTGCTTTTATATATGATAGCTTTTGACTTCAAAATTAAGTTAAGCCACACTATGAAGTAAAAGATATAATAAACTGAACTGCAATAGGTCTATGAAAATATGATAGAGCAGAATATAGTGAGGAGAAAAAGTAAAAATAAATGAGGACATTTAAGGGTCATCTGTGAGTAGTTTAAATTAAAATCAAGCACTGTAGATGTATTACTTAAAATTTGTGTTTAGGTAGTCACATATTGTATTCTTTCTAATATAATCATTGCTAATATAAGTATATTATCATGTTTGCAGTAGAGATTTATTAAAATGTATTCTGGAGGAATGAAGTACAAATTTAAGACCAATTAAAAGACCATGACAAAATCTCTAGGAGTTGGATGTACACAGTGGAAGCATGGTGTGAAGAGGAGATGTATAACTAATAATTATATGATTGTAGAATGTGCTGTGTGAATGAATATTGAAATGAAGGGGAGGAAGGTACTTTTTTATGTACTTGATTATTTTAATGGGTAGTGATTTCAACATTATCCATATGCCCTTTTTCCACAGAATTCATATGTCCTTCTCCTCATATTAAAAATGGTGACTATACACCCAAAGGCATCACATACAGAAGTGGAGATGAAATCATATATCATTGTAAAACTGGCTTTTATCCTTCAAACCAAGGAAAAAGGGCAAAATGTACTAAATCTAGATGGGAACCTGAGCCAAGATGTGGTAAGTTCCTGTCATATCTTGACCTACTTCTTAATTCTGAAATTACTGTCTCTTAAACAATTGTAACAAAGATGGGGACACAATAAATCCAAATATTTGCCTTACTGTGTATGTAAAGTGGGGGCTACAGAGACATTCTTTTCAAAGTAGACAATTTTAAGCACAATCTAAACCACATTTTGGAAATTTTTAAACTCTTTATATATATTGTGCTATTTGATGTTAACTATGTATGTATGAATATAAATTTCTCTAACTTTGATTTGTATCTCCCTAATGGTGAGTGATGCTGATCATCTTTTCATGTGTCTATTAGCCATCTGGATGTCTCCTTTGGAAAAATGTCTTTTCATGTCTTCTGCCCATTTCTTAACCAGATTATTTGTTTTTTGTGCATTAAGTTTGGTAAGTTCTTTATAGATTTTTTCAAAGGATATATTCCAGATGGCTAACAGACACATGAAAAGATGCTCAACATTACTGATCAGCAGGGAAATACAAATGAAAACCACAGTAATGTGTCACCTCACACCTGTCAGAATGGTTAAAACTAACAACACAGGAAACAACTGATGTTGGTGAGGCTGTGGAGAAATGGTAACCCTCTTATGTTGTTGGTGAGAATGCAAACTGGTGCAGCCACTCTGGGAAACAATATAGAGATTCCTCAAAAAGGTAAAAAATAGAGCTACCCTCTGATCCAGCAATTACACTACTAGGTATTTGCCCAAAGGATAAAAAACACTGATTTGAAGGGGTACATGTACCCCAATGTTTACAGCAACATTATCAAAAATAGCCAATGTATAGAAAAAGCCCAAATGTCCATCAACTGGTGAATGCATGAAGAACATATATAAATATTCCATTTACAGTGGAATATTACTCAGCCATCAAAAGGAACGAACTCTTGCCATTTGCAGTGACATGGATGGAGCTATGTATTATCATCATGTAACCATTATGTAACCATGTATTATGCTAAGTGAAATAAATCAGTCAAAGAAAGACAAATACCATATCATTTCACTCATATGTGTAATTTAAGAAATGAAACGGATGAACATGAGAGGGACATAGAGAGAGGCAAACCAAGAAACAGACTCTTAACTATAGAGAAAAAACTTAGCATTGCTGAAAGGGAAGTAGGCGGGGTGGGGGGAGTATATTTAAATAAGTGGTGGTTATTGAAGAGAGCACATGTTGTCATGAGCATTGGGTGTTATATGTAAGTGATGAATCAGTAAAGTCTACTCCTGAAACTAACATTACACTGTATGTGAACGAGCTGGAATTGAAATTAAAACTTGAAACAGCAAACAAATAAGTAAATAAATAAATTTTAGGTTCATAGCAAAACTGACAGGAAGGTACAGAAACTTCCTATACACTCAGTGTTGCCACACATGCATACCTACCCCATTTATCAACATCCCCCTACCCTGAAAGATATGCTTTTACATTGATGAATCTGGATTCATCCATCATATTACTCAAAGTCAGTAGTTTACCTTAGAGTTCACTCTTTTTTTTTTAATGCTTATTTATTTTTGAGAGAGAGAGACACACACAGGGTGTGAGCGGGGAAGAGTCAGAGAGACAGGGAGACGCAGAATCTGAAACAGGATCCAGGCTCTGAGCTGTCAGCACAGAGCCTGAGGCAGGGCTCGAATCCATAAACTATGAGATCATGACCTGAGCTGAAGTTGGCCACTTAGCCAACTGAGCCACCCAGGAGCCCCTGGAGTTCACTCTTGATGTACATTCTACAGGTTTGGACAAATGTGTAGTGACCTATGTCCATCATTATGGGATCATACAGAGGTTTTCACTGCCTTAAAAATCCTCTGTGCTACACCTATTGATTCCTCCCTTTGCTCAGTCTCCACAAACAGAATGTCATATAGTGGGGCTCATGCATCATGCAGTCTTTTCAGATTTGTTTTTTATACTGAGGAATACACATTGATGATTCCTCCAAGTCTTTTCATGGTATGAGAGCCCATTGCTTTTGGCTGTAAATGATAGTCCATTGCCTGGATGTATCACAGTTTCTTCATGTACTCATCTACTGGTGGACATCTTGGTTGTTTCTAAGTTCTACCAATTATGAATAAAGCTGGTATAATATAAATAAATAAATAAATAAATAAATAAATAAATAAAGCATTTGGCAACACTAGTCATCTAATACCTAATATATTAGTTCTTTATTTCTGTGTAACAGATTTCCCCCAAAATATATTGGCTTCAAACAACTAATCTTTATCATCTCAAAGTTTCTATGGGTCAGGAATTTGGCAGTGGCTTAGCTAGCTAGTTCTGAGTCAGACACTTCTTGTGTTGTAGTCAGGATGTTGACCTAGGCTGCAGTCACCTGATGGCTCAGCAGGGCTGGAGGATCTGCCTCCAAGATGGCTGACTCATAAGGCTTTTGGCAGGAGGCTTCAGTACTTACCACCTGGAAATCTCCATAGGCTACATAAATGGCAGCTAACTTTCTCCAGAGCTCATGATCTGATAGAGAGAGAGGTGAAAGCTTCCATACCATTTACAAATCAGTCACATATGGTCACTTTAGTCACATCTAGACTTTAGAAGTGAGTTTCTAAGTCCAGCATACTCAAAGGAAGGAGAATTAGGCTCCACTTTTTGAAGGGAGAAAAAGACACTGTGGAATTTTCTAAAACCATCCCATGTAACAAATTTCCATTCAATTCAACAGTGTACTGTATTTTTTCTGGGGAATGTTTCCTTTACTCTTTTCCAAGTGTTTTCTGTCTCCATAATTATATTCCTTTTCTCTACATATCACAGTTTGTTGTAAAGGTGTACTACACTTAAACTGGATAATATATGAATACATTATGATACAGAAAATAGGTCATTGGCCTCCATATTAATTCTAGGCATAACTCCAAAATGAAGTTTCAAATCAAATGACCCTTAAAAAAGACCCTATCATCAATATAAAACAGACTTTAATGTAAAACAATTATAATAAAAATATTGAGTGTTTTTATGATTGAGATATAATTGACATATAACACTGTGTGAGTTTCAAATGTGCAACATGATTTGATATTTTTAAATATTGTGGAGTGATTTCAAACACAATTGTATTTAAATATATCACCACATCATTACAATTTTTTTCTTGCGAAAAGAACTTTTAAGATCTACTCTCTTAGCAACTTTCAAATATACAAATTAGTATTAATAACTATAGTCACCGTGCTGTACCTTACATCCCCATCATTTTATTACTTTATTTCTGGTAGTTTGTACCTTTTGACCCCCCTTGACCCATTTTCCTGTCCTTCATGCCCTGCCTCTAACAACCAACACTCTGTTCTCTTTACTAAAAGTTTGGTATTTTTAGATTCCAAATATATCTCATGTGTTATTTGTCTTTCTCTGTATGATTATTTAGCATAATGCCCTAAAGTCCATCCATGTCATCACAAATGGCCACATTTGTAAATAATGTTTTGTAAATATTGTAAATAATGCTGCAGTGAACAGGGGGTACATGTATCTTTTGAGGTAGTATTTTCCTTTCTTTCAGATAAATACCCAGAAGTGGAATTCCTGGATCATATGGTAGTTCTATTATTTGAGAAAACTCCATACTGTATTCATAGTGGCTGCACCAACTACAGCCACTACATTCCAACTAACAGTACGGAAATGTTCCCTTTTCTCCACATCCACGCTAACACATGTTATTTTTTTTCTTTTTGATGAAGCCATGTAAACAAGTATGAAGTAATATCTTATTGTGGTTTTACTTTTCATTTCTCCAATGATAAGTGAAGTTGAGCACCTTTTCATGTGCCTTTTGCTCATCTGTTTCTTCTCTAGAAATATGTCTATCCAGATCCTCTGCCCATGTTTTATTTAGGTTGGGGTTTTTGTTGTTGTTGTTGTTGTTGTTGTTGTTGTTGTTGAATTATATGAGTTTTTTAAAATATTTTTTGGACGTTTCCCTTTATAGATATATGACTTGCAAGTATTTCCTCTCACTCATTAGGCTGACTTTTCAGTTTGTTGACGGTTTCCTTTATTGTGCAGAAGTAGTTGGTTTAATGCAGTCCTACTTATTTAGTTTTGCCTGTGTCACCTTTGCTTTTGGTGTCAATTCTAAAAAATAATTGCCAAGATCAATGTCAAAGAGCTTATCCCCTATGTTTTCTTCTAGTGAAGAAAACCATAGGGATAAGAAAACATATGTTTTCTTCTACTGAAGAAAACATAAGGATAATAGTTTTATGTTTTCAGATCTTTCATTCATTTTGTTATAGATTTTGTGTATGGTGTAGATAGTGGTCCTGATTCCCTTTTTTTTTTTTTTGCATGTTATTGTCCAGTTTCCTCAACACCATTTATTGAAGATACTGTCCTCTCTTCACTGCATATTCTTGGCTTTTTTGCCATAAACTATATGGCCTTAAATGCATGAGTTTATTTACACTCTCTCTTCTGTTCTGTTGAGCTATGTGTCTGCTTGGATGCCAATACTGTACTGTTTTAATTACCGTAACTTTGTAAAAAGTTTGAAACTACGAAGCATGATGCCTCCAGCTTTGTTCCTCTTTCTCAGAATTTCTTTGACTATTTGGAGTCTTTTGTAATTACAAACAAGTTTTAGGATTATTTGTTCTATTTCTGTGAAAAATGCCTTTAGAATTTTGATAGGAATTGCAATGAATCTCTAGATTGCTTTCATGAACATTCTAACGATATTAACTCTTCCAATTCATGAACATGGAGTATCTTTCATTTATTTGTGTCTTTGATCTATTTCATCATTGTCTAGAGTTTTCAGCATACACACCTTTCACCTTCTTGGATAGATTTATTCTTAGATATTTTGTTTTGATGCTATTGTAAATGGCACTGTTTCCTTAATGAAGCCTAGGGCTCATAGTATGGCGGGGGATCATTTAATGTTCCCTCTGTGAAGGGTAACGAGTCAGCTAAATACTTTTACTCTAGTG